GCGAGGCCAGGTTTGCCCACCAGATTCTCAGCTTCCTTCCTGCACCTTGCAGTGCGAAAGCTAAACGCCCGCAGGCGCGCCGCCAGGACTTCGGGCGGCCAGCGGGAAGGAAATCAAGGCTAACCTGAGCCCGCCTACATCTCTACGCTGGCCCCCCCAGCAGCACTCGAAAATGGCGACGGTGTCGCAGTTCGCAGCCCCCCAAGGACGAGGAGGTATAATTTGAATCTGCGTGGGGACGGTATTCCGCTGGACCCCCCAGCAGCCTGCAAAAATGCCGACAGTTTCGCTGTTCGCAGCCCCCCAGGGATGGCGAGGCCGAATCTGATTCTGAGTAGGACGTCACTGTGCTGGACCCCCCAGCAGCCCTCAGAAGTGTCAACAGTTTCGCAGATCGCAGCCCCCCAGGGATGGCGAAGTCTAGTCTGAACCTGCGTTGGACGTCATTACGCTGGACCTCCCAGCAGCACGCGAAAGTGACAACAGTTTCGCAGATCGCAGCCCCCCAGAGATGGCGAGGTCTACGTAATTTGAGTCTGCGTTGGACGCCACTCCGCTGGACCTCCCAGGAGCCCTCAAAAGTGGCGACCGTTCCGCAGTTCGCAGCCCCTCGGGGAGCCCCCAGGCAGGACGGCGAGGTATGACGGCGAGGTAATTGGGAGGCAGGAGGCAGGGTAGCAGGGGCAGGCTGGAGGGGACAGGAGGAGGAGGGGCAGGCAGGAGTGGCGGCCGCAGTGCTCCATCCAGACTGGGAACCCAGCGCAGGAGGGCTGGGACGAATTGCCTCCGACCATCGAGACGGACACGCCGACCCAGGGACCGACCAAGCCCAGGGCCACCTCGCCCGAGATCGAGTGGGTGCCAGGTGCTGCGCGAGACGAAGACAGGACAGCCCAGAATCGAACCGATAAGTCGAATCGGCGATCGAAATGAATCGGATCGGCGGAAATCGGCAGCAGAGTCGGGAAAAGTCGAATCGGCAGAAATCGGCAGGCCTCTATGCCTCCAATGAGAACTCGGAGCCCGAATCGGAATCCGAAATCGAATCGAATCGGAATCGGAAGCCGTCGAAATCGAACCGGATCGAACCGGAGGAATCGAAACGAGGCCTGCGTAGAAGTCGGGGCCAGAGCCGGGTGCTTCTTGTTGGCTGCCGGCGCGCCGTCGCGTGGCACCCGGCGTCAGCCTGCGCTTTTTGTTGCTGCCGCCCGCCGCGCGGTTCGGCGCTGCGCGTTGGCCCTTGGGGGTCCGCCGGCGGCCCGTGGGGGGGGGGGGGCTGCACGGCGTGCGCGTCGCGCCCCGGGCGGAGCGCAGTGCGCGGGAGGGCGGCGAGGAGGGCGGCGAGGAGGGCAAGGATCGGCGACACTCCAAGGAGAAAGCATGCGGTGACAACTCGCGGGAGCCTCCCATGCCAGCTAGCCGATGCTTGCCAATCGACGCTGGTCGACGCCAAGTCGACGCGAAGCGACTCCAAATCGACGCAGCTCGACGCTGACCGACGCCAAATCGGCGCGATCTCATCGACTCCTAGAGACGCGAATCGACGCGAATCCACGCTAGAGATAGAGTTACGAGGGTTCACAAGGCTCCCTTGACTTGCTGTCGAAGAAACATGAGCCACCGCCACCGAGAAGCCATTGGTGGGGGGACCGAACCCTGGGCGGCGGCACGCCTGAGCGTCGCCTTGTGGGCCCGCACCAACAAGCATCCTGGCGAAGGGTCGCTTGGCTGGGCCATACCTCTGCATGTCGCTTCACCGATCCCCATCCCCAGCGCCGTGGCCTGGGCCCCACTGGCCGATTTACCTCCCTAGATGGGGATATAGGTGACTACCTACCAGACCACCCCAACCCAACCCGAAGACCCGAATTTCGGGTTGGGGGGGGTGCGGGTTCCATATGTGTTTTCTCGATGTTCCCCGACCCCCCCCACTGGAAATGGAGGGCAAATTGAGGTCTTCGGGTTGGGTTGGGGTGGTTTGGTGGGTGAATAGGTCGTTCCCTTCGGGTTCCGAGGGGTGTATCCCCACCTGGGGGGGGTGACTCGGTGGGGGCCTCGAAGGGGCTAGGGGATGGGGATGGGGATTGGTGAAACGACACCGAGCCTCGGGTCTCCGTCGGCCGCTCGGGACGACTCGGGCACCCAGGAAGCGCTCTCGGCTGGGCGCAGCTGCTGCCCTCTTAAGCGCAAGTCGAGAGATGAGGAGAAAGAGGAGGAGGAGGAGGAGGAGGAGGAGGAGGTTTAAGGCCCAGTATACAGTCATCGGCCTGACCCAAGGAACGATAAATAAGGAACGAAGCCCAAGGAATAACGCATAAGGAACGAGAAACAATACATAGCGCATAAGGAACGAGAAATAACGCATGCAAGCCTGAGAAACGCCCGAGCCCCTTTTGATAAGTAAGTGTTCCTCATTCAAGCCGCTCACTGTACGGAGACTCTGATCAACCAAGACGTTGGCGCGCCCAAGAAAACTGCAGCCGTGAGTCGAATCATTCACCTTTACTTGTTCGCTCCAGCTGGAAGGTTCGGAGTCCTAGTGTGCGATGTCATGGTTCCACGGGCGCCCACGCAATGAGTTGGCGGGTCAGTTGCAGAAGCTCGCTGTTGAAGTATACTTGGCCTTCGTGAGTGGCAAACAGCTATGAGAGGCCATTGCACGCACTAGCGTCCACGCGCCCCAGCGTATGCCTCTGCATGAATGTACGTATGTACGGTCGGGAAGGTTTACTTAGCGTGTCGCAGCGGCGGCTCTGGTGACACGCTATGCACTGCAAGCGGATGGAGTGTCGTGCCGCTCCGCGGGGCGGAAGGCTAGGAACATCTCGGGACGCTGACGCTTGGGAATGGGAAAGTGGATAGCGCGTCGCGCTAAAGCGTGAGACAAAACCGGCGGTGCGACACGCTAAGCCAAAGTGAACCTGACCGTACGAGCGGGAAAAATAGGACGCACAAAGACATACTAGTATACTAGTACTAGATGTCCTCATTTGAGTCGTGCGTCCGACCCGAACATGCTGTAAAACCGTCTTGCACGATACTGCTTCCCCAGCAGTATGGCCAGAAATCGTCCGCCACGGAGCCTATACTGTAAGAGTTCTCGGCGCGCGCGTCAACCCTGGGCGGCGACGCACACATAGCATTAGCATGCTGGGGTGACGCTGAGAAACAAAGGATTTGGACGCCCGAAATGGGCACGGAAAACATGAGTACAATGACCACCAAAACCACTAACAACCACTAACAACAACAGCAACAGCAACAACAACAACAGCAACAGCAACAGCAACAGCAACAGCAACGCAACAACAACAACAACAACAACAACAACAACAACAACAACAACAACAACAACAGCAACAGCAACAGCAACAGCAACAACAGCAACAACAACAACGAAACCAACAGCGGCCGCTGTTGGGCAGGCGGCCGCGGCGACGCGGACAGCGAATCCTGTCCAAAATAAACAAGAACTGCTGTCGGCCTCTGCGCCCCCTCTCTCCGTACCCGCCTCGATCGCCCCGAAGGCAGGGAGGAACCGCTGGGCAGCGCGCTTGCGGCCCCTGGCAGGGCAGCAGGGCCTCTTTTCGGCCCGCCGTGAATTCCGCGGGGCGCGGGCGGCCGAGCCCCCAGGAGGCGCGCCGCGCCCCGTGCGACCTGAGCGGACCGGCACCGGAGAGGCAAAACAACGGGGGCCACGGCCAGGACTGCACGCGGAAATCCGCTAGAAAAAATATACACAGACACCCTCCACTGGATTGTTCCTGGGCCTCAGGGAAGTGTGGCGGTATGTAGATCACCACTGGGGGCGAGCGACTTTATACACCCTCCCCTCCCTGAAGGTACATGCGAAGTTCGTCGGAGGGCGTCTGTGTAAATATTTCCGTGGCGTAGGCAGCGCCGTGTCGATCTTTCGGCGGCGCGCCGAGGGGGAAGCGGGGAAGGAGCGGGCCAGAAGGCGGCGGGCTTCTCAGAAGCCATCCGGTCTTCTGATAAGTCTTCGGGGAAGGCTTAGAAAACTTCTCAGAAGGCCTCCGAGCTTTCTGAGAAGGCCCGCACCTTCTCGCTTCCCCCCTGGACTCGCCGTCGAATCTTGGTCACCCTCAAACTTGGTCAGCGTCAGAGCGTGGGTCGTCCTCGCGAATCGGCGACGGTCGACATGGACCATGGCCAAGAAATCGGCGTCGACAGGATCCCGCGGCCTCGTGGCCATGGCCAGTGCGCTTCTCCCCTCGGTGTGCTCAGACCCCTCCGTGTAGTGGAAAAAACTGACCGCTGCTGGCGCAAAACACGCCCATCCACAGACGTCGCCTCGACGGCGCCGCCCCCAGACCCCCCATCTCAATGTTGCGTTCGGGGCCGTCGTCGAGGTGCAAGCATCGGCATCAAAGAACGCCCCAAACTCCACCGCCAAGGTCATCCCGTCTTCAGCACTGGAACTGGGCACGGGGGCTCTGAACACAGCAGCGTCGTCCATTGTGATGCCTGGTGGGCGTGTTTTACGTCGACGGCGGCATCCTGGGCCCCAGGGCCTTACAGAGCGGCCAAGGAAGAAAAGCTGGCCCCCGGGGACGGGGCCCCGGCCTCGAGGGCACCAGCCCCCGCGAAAAGGTCGCGCCGTCGGGGGTCTGAAATCGAGGGCCGCTAGAGGTCGTCCTGGGCCCAGGGTGCCCCAAGCCTTTCTCGCCACGTCGGGCCCTCTGGGGCCCTTGCGGCCTCGTGCGGGGTGCTCTGGAAGCCAGCTGCGCCTCCTTGGTAAGGCTGGGGTCACCCTGTGATCCCGGGCCACCTCTCGCGGCGCACGAGGGGAACCGCACAAGGACTGCCGCGCCCACGCGTCCCGCCCGGGCCCTCTCCGCCGCAGGAGCCCCAGACCACCCGGTCCCGCAGGCTCCGTGCAGGTCCTCGCCTCGGCCCCGCGGCGCCCCCGCGGCCGGGCCCGGGACCTCGGCGCCCGGCGCGGCGACTGCCGCGCGCCTCCGCCCGCCGCTCCGCGTGCCTCAGGAGCCCCGACGAGCGGCTCGCCGCACGGCGACCGCCGAGGCGGCGGCGACCTGGCCGCCGGGGGCGGCGGCGCCGCCGGCTCGCCGCGGGCCTCTCCGCAGCAGGCCGCGGGCGTGCGTGCGGCCGCGGGCGGGCGCCGCCTTGTGGAGCGGCCGCGGGAGGTCCTCCCGCGCGCGGGGCGCCCGGGGCGAGCGCAGGCTCGCCACGAGGGTCGCGCCGGCGCTGATGCCGCAGAGGAAGGCGCAGGCAGCGACGATCTCTGCGCAGTGGCGCCAGACGAAGGACGAGGTGCTGGAAGGGCTGGGCGGCTGGTGGGTGCCCAACAGCGCATCCTCCTCGTCCTCGGGGGCCGCGCTGCGGCCCTCCGGCTCCCACATCGCGATCCTCTCACCGGGCCCTGGACCTTCTGGGGGCCCTCATGGCTGAGCCAGGCTTAAGCCGAAATGCCACGGAGGGAGGAGGGAGGAGGGAGGATCGGGTGCGCCGAAGAGGGGGACCGACTAGGAAGATGGGAGGGTGCGCATCGTGGTCCGAGGCACGTGCGCGGACGATGGGGGGGGGACGTGGTTGCAAGAAGTCGGGGGTTGCTAAGGGGGGTGCCCCTGGCCCAAGGTGCCCCCAGCCTTTCGCTCAAGCTTGGAGCCCCTGGGGGCCTGTGCCTCATGGTGGGTCCTCGGGAAGCCGTGGGGGTCTCCTTGGAAATCCTGGGGGCACCTTGGGCCAGGGGCACTTCTAGCAAAACCCGAGGAGGAGGAGGAGGAGGAGGAGGAGGAGGAGGAGGAAACATAAGAAGAAATAACAATAACCATAATACTACGAGCAAGAACAATAATGAGACGATGAAGACTAATACTGATACTAACAATAAGAAGAAGACAAATAATAATAAGAAGAATAAGAAGAAGGAGAAGAAGAGGAGCAGGAGGAGGAGGAGGGCATGATATCCACACACACACACACACACACGCACACATCATCCAAGTCATCACCTCCCTTGTGGTCGCCCCCGAGAGGAGCCGAGGCGGGCGGCCCGCACCTGACGCCGGCCGCCTCACCCCACCGCCTGCCCTTTGCCAGCTAAACACCCCCTCGGCCCCTGGACTGGGGCCGGGCATGTCCCCCTGCAGGCGGAGTTTGGGCGAAAACTTAAAAACACCCCAGAAAATGCCTAAAGATGGTCAAACATTGACGAGAAATCGTCCCCGAACTATTTGTGTACTATGTGTGAGCATTCCCCCCTGGAGAGGGACACGCCCGACTGAACCCTGGACTGGTGCAGCGGACCCTCCTGGCCTCGGCCGCGAGGGCGCCCGGCACGTGCCCTACCAAGGGCCCTATGAGGAGCTCCCTCGGGGGCCCTACGAGGGGCACGGTGCACGCTCCCCCCCCCGTGCCTCGCCCCTCCGTTCGCCCCTCCACGAAGCAACGCCCGGCTCCCCCTCTCGGAGGTGAGCAGAGTCAGGGGAGGAACAGCCTCCAGTCGGGCCTGTCCCCCTACAGGAGGAATACCCAAAACTCAGCACACGCTTTGGTTGACCCAGAAGGGGGTCCAGCTGCAAGGGAAGGGTGCAATACAGGTTTGGGGCAATTGTTTGGGGGACGCACTGCGCCAGAAAGTTGCACTGCACTGTATTGCAGCGAATGCAGTGCACGCGAAAACCCAGCAATACGGTCGCACACCGGAGTGGATCGATTGCAACGCCACAGATCTAGTGCACCAGATCTGGTGCACCGCCCCCTTGTCGCTGGACCCCCAATTTGGGCCACGCAGACACGCAGCATCCACCAGCCCAGGGCCCAGGATCACGCAGGAAGTTTTTTAGCCAGAGGGAGGAGGGAGGCTCTATTCGCTGCTCTCGGGCCCTGGTGGCCCTCCACGCGTGCCGCGGGGGCACCCGAGAGCCTGCTGCGCGGAAGAAGGCCTGGGTCCTGGGGAGACCCTCGAGATCTAGGACCCGCCTCCCCTCAGGATCTTGGAGGCCTCGAACTGGTCACCAACACCATCACACGGGGATGCCTCCCCTGAGACCCTGGCGACTCAATTTTTTCGAGCCAGACGTTTTCGCCATTTTTTTCGGGCCCCAGGACCCTCACAGATGGATCCGGCTCGAAAAATGGCGCAGAAAGATGGGGTCTGGGGCTCCAGTCGTGATTTTTCACGATGTCTCAATTTTTTCAAGACGTCGGATCTCAGGGTCCACTGGAAGAAGATGATCCTAGATTTCGATGCTGGTGGTGATATGCCGGCCACCCAGATGCCCGAGAACACCACCACCATCACCGAGATTGGGGGCCTCTTCTCTCGGTGGAGGCACACTGCCGCTATTGGTGCTGGTGTCAAGCTCTAGGCCTCCGAGGATCCCTCCCTCGTGGCGAAGGCAGAAGCATCGCACCTCGAGAGAGCCGCGGCCGGAGCCCTCGGCACGATTCTTGCAGGCTGCGAGCGCTCTCGAGGCGGGGCGGTCCGTGGGGCCGAGCACCAGGGCGAGGTCGCCCATCGTTGACCCTACGGCACGACGCCCAGATCTGAGGTGTCTGGAGCTTAGGTGCCCCGATGTGCAGCAGGCAACACGTGGCGTATTGACACGGAGCTCAACACGCAGTCCGAGCACGCATGTCTGACGCGATACGTTCGCCAAAGCACGGGCCAATACGCTGAGCCAACACGCGGCGTAGTGAAACGGACGTTTTGAGCACGGCACGTGTTGCGTATCGAAACGTGCGCATCGAGGCAGCTGAGGCGCGGAATTTCCGAAGCCCGCGGAGGCCTGCGCGGGCCACTGGAGGCTCAAAGGGGACCTCCAAGCGCTGAGAGAAACTCGACCTCTTCACCAGCCTGGAGATCCCGGGGTGGACCTGGCCAGTGCCGGCGGTGGTGCACTTCACGAGCGACGGACACGTCCGTGCCCATGACCTCGCGGTCTGGGCTCTGGGGCGCGGTCTCCTGGATGCGCGGTCCCGTGGGTGCGCTCCACGCGGAGCGTCCGCGCAAGTGCCGCCCTGCGTCCACGGGGCCGCGGCCGAGCAGTCCAGACCGCGAGGCCATGGATCTGAATACGATGGAGGTCTTGAAGAAGGAGACCTCCGAGAAGGAGCCCAGGGTCTCGCGACCGACGGGCGGCCAAACGTGGGCCACCCACCTCGCCTTGAAACAATAAGGAATGCGCCTGGGTCCAGGCCCCAGGAAGACGTTCCTTATCCACTGCCGCCGCCGCATCTGCTGGGCAGCGCCTTGGGGGTGTCACCACCAGGGGGATCGCCGCCTCCTCCAGGAGGACACCCTCGGAGCCACCCACCCCCCAGAGCATCCCCACACGTAATACCAAAATCTCCTCGATCCGCGATCCTCGAACGTCGATCATGAAGATGGCGAACATCCCCGTGGTGCCCCCCCTTGGCACTGCCTGAATGATATGAACCCAAAAGTCCGATGCACGGGGTCCCTGGACACCCAAACCCTTTCCCCCCTTTGGCACTGCCTGCATCATATGAACACAAGAGTCCGATATACGGGGTCCCTGGACGTCCCAACCCTTTCCCCGGGGCCGTGTTTGCTCATCCCGAGTCGTTACTTAGCTTTCCTGAGGCCCGGCGAGGGCTCCCTGGGGCCGCAAGTCATACGCCCTGATGGTTTCAAGAAGTTGCATGTCTGGCTTTCGGCTCAGAACTCGGGCTTCTGCGCGGCCGATCGGGATGGTTCGAGCACGCTGGGAACGCTCTCGACCATGCGCAGCCGCTGGAAAGCGTCCCAAAGCGAGGGAATCCCATAGAGCCAAAGGCCCGAAGGTCTCGGAAGGTCGAAGGTCTGGGAACATGCTTCCCGTCATCGAAGCGTGGGCTGGCAAGGCTGGAGGCGTCGTCTAGGAGCCGTGCGACAGCAAACAACGACGACGACGACGACGATGGCAACGACAACGACGGCGACGACGACGACGGCGGCGGCGACGACGACTGCGATGACCGACGACGACGAGGACGACGACGAAGACGATGACGACGACGACGACGACGACGACGACGACGACGACGACGACGACGACGACGACGACGACGACGACGGCGGCGGCGGCGGCGGCGGCAGCGGCGACGGAGACGGCGACGGCGACGACGACGACCCGCGGCGTGCCGCCCCCCCCAGAGCGGCGGCCGGCCTCCTCCTCCTCTCCTCCTCCTCCCTCCTCCTCCTCCTCCTCCTCCTCCTCCTCCTCCTCCTCCTCCTCCTCCTCCTCCTCTGACTCCAACTCATCCTCGCTAACCCCCCCCAGTTCCCTTCCGCCTGCTCCTCCTCTTCCTCTTCCTTTGCTCCAACTCATCCTCCCTCACCCCCCGTTCCCTTCCGCTTCCTCCTCCTCCTCCTCCTCCTCCTCCTCCTCCTCCTCCTCCTCTTCCTCCTCCTCTGCCTTGAACTCATCCTCCCTCACCCCCCCGTTCCCTTGCGCCTTCTCCTCCTCCGAACAACGCCACAACCATCACCACCGCTGCAGGCCGCGGCCCACGGTGACGAAAGACGGAGACGACTACGACAACGACCGACGACGGCGATGACCGACGACGACGACGACGACGACGACGACGACGACGACGACGACGACGACGACAACGACGACAATGACGACGACGACGGCGGCGACGACGACAACAGCGGCGGTAGCGACGACGACTGCGATGACCGACGACGACGACGACGACGACGACGACGACGACGACGACGACGACGACGGCGGCGGCGGCGGCAGCGGCGGCGGCGGCGGCGACGACGACGATGACGACGACCCGCGGCAGGCCGCCCGAGCGACGGCGGGAGGCCTCCGCCCTCGCCTTCGGCGACGGACCCTGGCCCCCCGGCGGCGGGGCGGGGAGTATCAGGTGGGCCTCGGGGCGGTCGTCGTCGTCATCGTCATCGTCGTCGTCGTCGTCGTCGGCTTCGTCCTCGTCGTCCTCGTCCTCGTCGTCCTCGTCCTCGTCGTCGTCGTCGTCGACGTCGACGTCCTTGTCGCCGTCCTCGTCCCCGTCCCTCTCCTCGTCCTCGTCCTCGTCCTCGTCCTCGTCCTCGTCGTCCTCGTCGTCCTCGTCGTCGTCGTCGTCGGTGTCGTCGACGTCGACGTCCTTGTCAACCTCCTCGTCCCCGTCCCCCTCTTCGTCCTCCTCGTCGTCGTCGTTCTCGTCGTTCTAGTCGTCGTTGTCGTCGTCGTCGTCGTCCTGCGCCGGGCATCGGGGCGGCGGCGGCAGCGGCGGGGCGCCAGCAGTGCGGGGGGTCGCTATTCGAAGAGAGGATCGACTACAAAAAAAACTGGTTCCAAACTTGATTTTTCCGTCGGAACAAGGAGAAATGCGTCAAATGTTCCGTAGACCTGCGGAGCATTCTACGATTTGTTGT